TGCTCAATCAGAGGAACAACCCCAGGCCATTTGTAAGGCCAGTGACCACTGCCCACAAACAGAACATTCCAGAATGTCTAGGAGCAGGTGGGGATTGGGAGATGAGGGAAGGTGGATTACTCAGGGCTCCTCAGGGTGAGGAGTATCTTACATATCTGGGCAGGACATTAGGACACAGTGGTAGGGGGTGGCTTACCTCTAAGGGTTGTGGCAAATGATCTTAAGAAGTAAAGCAGCTTCCGTGTGAGAGAACAGGCAGCGATGGGTAGTGATGAGCCGAGAGCAGGCTTTCCCTCCTCCGAATGGGACAGCCCGTACCGACACTGTCACATGCAACCCCGGGCTCCCGGTGCCTTTCAGCTTTGTAAGGGGACCCAGAAACCCACATTTTGGGTAACATTTCCCAGTTACTGAAACACTGCACAGAACATGACGCACCCTTGGCTGGTGGGGTTTGCTGCCAGGTGCTAGTTTTCACCCTTGTTGAATGACCTTCCTGTCTGTGTGTGTGTTAGAGATTAGTTCCTGCATTTTTCACCAGTGACTGGATTTTAAAAAAATATATTTTATTGATTTTTTACACAGTGGAAGGGAGAGGGATAGAGAGTTAGAAACATCGATGAGAGAGAAACATTGATCAGCTGCCTCCTGAGCACCCACTGGGGATGTGCCCGCAACCAAGGTACATGCCCTTGACCGGAATCGAACCTGGGACCCTTGAGTCCGCAGGCCGATGCTCTATCCACAGAGCCAAACTGGTGAGGGCATGACTGGATGTTCACAGGGAAAAATCTTCATGTGAGTCAAGGGGCTGCTATGAGTTCCCTGTTGCAGTGTAACTGGACAACCAATGGATCCAACTCCCTGCCAGGTTAGAACGTGCTTTCTTTAATGAACACAAAACAACCACGGTGAACAGAGCATGATTAATATTTCTTGTAACTAATAACTAGACCCTAATATTCTATTTCTGCCCCTAAGAGTAACAGATCATCACACACTTAATGGCTTATCCAGTGCCAGTGTATTGACCTGCAGTCTTGTAGATCAGAGGCCTGGCGTGGTTCTCACTGGGCTACAATCAGCCCTGTCAGGAGGGCCCAGGAAGAATCCAGGTTCTTGTCTTTCCCAGCTTTGAGAGGCCACCTGCATTCCTCAAAGCCAGCAGTGGGGTCCATCCTCACCTCAGATGTCAGATCTCTCCCCACAATTTGAAAAGTTTCTCTGCATTAAAGGATTCCCGTGATCGGACCCACCTTCTAATCCAATGTGATCTCTCCATCACAAGGTTATAATTTAATGACACCCACAAACCCCCTTTTACCACCTGGGGCCACATCTTGACCAATTCCAGGGGTGAGGCTGTGAGCAGGGCTCTTCCCTGAGCCCTTGGCTCTTTTGCTCCTTCTATCAGAGGACAGAGACCTCTGATCAAGGGTTTATCTTTCCTGATCACCTGGCCCACTGCTCCTCTGGTCAGCCTTCCTTTTCTTTCCGGGGTGGGGAACCTTTAAAATTTCTGCCAAGGGCCATTTGGATATTTATAACATCATTCGAGGGCCATACAGAATTATCAACTTAAAAATTAGCCTGCTGTCTTTGGTCAAACATGGCCATAAGCCACGTGGGCGCAGGGGAACGCATACCCCTGCCACAGGAGTGTCAGGAACCCATTTCACACGCGGGGGTGGGTGGGTGAGAGGGGGGAGAGAGAGGAAGCACATGCTGTTTTGCGTAGGGGTGGATACATAGCTTGCTAGCTCCTAATTGGTCCTTTCAAAGCATCCTGCCCTAGTAACATCCTTGGGAGTGGTTATAAGCCTCACTGCCTTGTGATTGGTTATCTGTAAGATTCTTATCCTAGTAACATCTATATATTTTAAAGTTCACATCTACTACAGGGGCCCTTCTTTCCCCACCC